CCGGCTCACTGATGCTGTCAAAGCGGGCGCAGCGCATGAGCCTCCTCTCCCTCAGACCCGTCACCCAGCGCGTGGGGACAAGGGCAATGAGCTCCCTGGGACGGGGACCTGGGCCTTGCTGCCGCCGGTCAACCCCCAAGTCTTTCTCAACGGCACGCATCAGCCAATCCATGGTGAGTCTCTCCGATGCTCGTTAAGAGTCGCACAATGTCCCGCTGCATACGCCTCGCTGTCTCCCACAAGGACGCCTTTCAGACATTCATGAAGGATGATATCAAAGCCATCGAGGGCAGACCGAATCTCCTCTTGCACCAGTCCCCCTGCGGAAATAATCGAAAAGCATAAATGGACAGTTAGATTAGCTTCTTTTAGAGTGCTTTAACTAATATTGCTGTGCAACGCTGGGATGACAGATTGTTTTCGACAGGGGAGAGAAGTTTGCTGCAATAACGGATGTGATGTTGGTGATTGCACACGACTTCTGCAAGTCCCTGAAGTTCAGCTCACGTGACTGCCTCCTGCCTCCGCCCCATCGACACAATCTCACGGTATATACATAGTGACAAAAAAGTCTCAAGTATAGCGAGTTAAACTGTTGACTAATCAAACTTACTTAGTGTCGTACTAGCCAGTACCAGAAGTTAATAGTTTGAATTGATTTCGTTAACTGTCTGCAAGGGATAACATCCAAAAAAACAAAGCCCAATTTAAACCGAAACTAATTACGCTAAATAGTGTAAGCTTGTAAATGTTATTTAGCTAGCTAACGCCAAACTCTTTCGCGTTATATGTCGGAACGGTGAAAGTGAGTTGGGAGCTTTAAAGCTCTAAGAAGACTATTGAGGAAGTAACGTCAACTTAACGCGAACAGTTAGCTCAGAGGCTAACGTTACGATACCTCACTCAAGCAAACAATAAGCCCTCATATAGCGCTAGGTTAGTGCCCAACAGCATTGACATGAAGCTAAACAAGAGCATCAATACTGGTAAAATGTAACTTCAATGTCACCACAGGACAACAGCATTTACTGTTGAATATCTTACCACTTGTAGCAGTTGACAGCTAGCTAGCGTTAAGCTAACGGTCCGGTTTCACGCATGCTGAGTTTGTACCACAGTAAGGTTATAAAACGAGGACGTACAGCGGGGCGACGTTTACTTCCACCATGTTGTCCGATGTCTAATGATGCGTGTCAGCAGACAAGACGACAGGTCAATCAGATGGTGTTTTGTTCTGTGCTAGCTGGAGCCATGTTTAAGAAGAGACACCTCACGTGACACAACACCGGCCCCATGTCATGTGATCACTGCTGCTGAAGCTGCACGATAGTGCCTCTTCTTCTTTGACGCGTAAAGGCAGCTGGCATCCTTGGTGTTGCATTACTGTCATCCTCTGGAGTTATTTAACTCCTGCAGTGTTCAGTTCTAATCTGAGCAAACATCTTCTGCCTTGTCTCTCCAGTATGCTCTTTAACCCTGCTCTCGTTAGTCCTACTCTTTTCATTTCTTCCATCATGTCATTTTTCTCTGAACTTTTCTGCAACTGGCAAGCACATAGCTCGATAGTTTCCTCTCCTGTATCCCACAATGGTACCCGCTCTATTTTGAATTGAGTGTAGATGTCCTCCTCTTTTTCTCCTCAGGGACACTTTCCCAATAACCTGCAAATAACATTTGATTAATACCAGAACTTATGTGTTGTGGTTACTTGATACAGCAGAAATATATAGTCAACTGTGCTACCGATATTGTGACAACCACAGTGGCAATAGAGATATATCTGTGTTGGCGATTTCTTTTAATTGTATTGAGTATGTTTAAGGCAACGTAGTAAGGAAAGGCCCATCCTCCTGGCAAACTACTCGGCCTATATCTAGATGAGCTAATGTAGTGAATGAAATGAAGCGACAATACCACAGTTTGCTGGTAATGTTCTGTCTTTTAAGGTCCCTTGAAATGATCTCATAAAAATATATATTTGCTTCTAATACCTGACTGGGATGTAGTCAGAGTCATCTCCACAAGGTGGCGTTATGTCTGTAATTTCATAGATAAATCCTTCAGCAGTGTTTGTCAAGACACAAACAGGTTGCTCTTTTACATTACTATTATAATTATACTGAATAATTTATTTCCACAAACTCACAACCGTTATTGAACAGGAAATGTGAAAACGGGCTTTATCAGAGACTGAATAGGATGAATGTCTTACTATGGTCTGTTTATCAGAATAGAGCACAGTGTCATAGCAATGTCTTGTTTATACAGAAAATGATATCTTGAGAGTTAAATTCCAAAATGTTCTCTGAGATGGTTATGAATACGCTTGAAGGTGGATTATACTTTATATGTTGCAGTTGCAAACTTGTCATGGATGTGATTTAATAAATATGAACCTTTGAATAATATTGACATATGCCTCTCAGTGTGCAATGGTCAACTTTTGTTTTTGTTTCCATATGAGTCCAATCTTACTTTTTTAAATGTTGATATGAATGTTTAAAACAGTATCTAAGTGTGCATATATTTTATGCATGGATGTTTTGAAAGCTTATTTTGATGGGCACCTTGAGCAAATCGAGGCAGGAAGTGAAAAACAGCTGGCAAATCTGATTAAAAAGAACAAACAATTGATAAGGCAAAGGGACAGAATCAAGGCATTTAGTGTCCCGTCCAGAAGGATTATAACAAAAATGTTCTTTAAAATCTGTAAAAGTGAGTCTATAGGCATGAATTTTTATATCCCACACTGTGTTGCAGACTCACAATTACAGGGACACAAAGTAAATGCTTCTCTCATCTCAGCATACCACCAATGAAGCATCATTACTGTCAGCACTTTGACAGAACAGATAGAGCCAAACAACATGGCATTCCTTGGCTGAACAGTCTCCTCTTAGTTCTGCTCTTAGTAGTTTTATCGTACTGCCAGGCAGAATGGGTTTCATGTCCCAAAGCACGCTGTTGGTTTTGGATTAAAGCCGTACATGAAAAGAGGGTGGACACAAAGAAGTGTGATGCATTATATTTCAATGCATTACCGTGCCTTTGCAATAAATAATATTTTTACCTTTGTATCGTATATCATGCTTTTTTTGCTTTTTTACAAGATCATTTCCATACTCTAGACTAGAGAGATAAACGTTATTTATTCTGCCAACAGGGTTGTATTTTCTGTAGGTTTGTTGGTCCTTTAGTTAGTTGGATATCTAGAAAAACAGATTTCAGTCAAATTTGGAGGAAAGTTAGGCCACGGGCCAAGGGAAGGATTGTTTTTGATTCGGATAGTGCCATTTATGTAATTCCTCATAACAACTTTTCCTCCTCTCCTCATACAAATTTAATTGATGGCACAAACACGTTCAGAAGACCCGAAGAAAATGTCCTATAATAACTAGTTATGTTAGTGTTCTTGCAGGCATGGCCAATTTGACATAATACAGATGTTGCCACATCTCAGTTTTTTATGAAAAAATGATATACATTTCTTTTTCTTTATGGTTATCTAAGATCACACAAGTTGCAAGAAAATGTATATTCTACCAGAGTTCACCAGCACCGGGTGTAACAGAAATCATCTGACCCACTGGTTAGTAATTTTAACCAAAGAGCAGGATGTATCTTTTGCCAATAAATAAAAACCAACCAACACAGGATAGGGTTTTAGTTATAGTCCTGTGACTTACACAATACAGAAATCCACATTGTCATGTCGAAATACGAAGACTGCTGAAAAAGAAAGAATTTATATGTAATTTATTGGAATACATTTGAGGAAGCCAGTCTTTCCTCTGGCATCATGAGGGGGGAACTGTATGGGGAACTGTATGTTCTGCCATACGTTGATGGCAGAACATGCTTATACCAAACGCACACAAATCTCTCAAGTCATCGTTTGCCTGATCGCTCAAGTCATTCGGCTAGAAATCCATGGACTCTGTGGGTGTCTTATAGAATTTTTTTTAAACTATGATGCAAACAAAGTGTTGCATTAATTGATTAATGCACAAAAAAAAGTCAATCTAGTCTGCTGAAACTGATATTTTTGTGGAAGTGGTGCATTTTGCAGACATGCCCTTAAAAGTTCTCACAATTTCCCATTTATTATTATTGTGACAATCCCTTTCACAGTTTAGTGGCCTGTTCTTCAGTCTGATTGAAACGAACAAACTCACCGTGATAGTTTATGTGTTCTGGGAGATACAGGCATGTCAAAGGCTTTAGATAGGGTTTTTTCCTTTGGTGAAGGGTAGATGTGCTAAAGTATTCAGGTCAGCAGAAACACACAGAAGAACGTGTAATTACTTAATTTAGTGCACAGACTACAAGCAATCTGGCTTGTCTGCAACTTGGTTGCAAAACATTTTTAAGGTGTGTGCTCTTGACTCTCAGGCAACAACATGCTGCAAAGAGGAGACACTGTCAGCTTATCTCTCATTGCATTTCTTTTTACTCTTGTGTGCCTTGTGTGTTTAGGTTACATAATGGAGAGTTGATATTTACACCTGTAGGCCTACTCTGCTCTGAAGCGAGCTTGACAGTTATTCATCTCATCTCAAATGAATAATAGTTTAACTCAATTGCTGCCCTGCAGAGGCTCTTTAACAGCCACGGCTTCCAAAATCCCCTTCACTTCGCCAAAGAAGATACCGAGGTAATAATGGCCTCTGCTGATGATAGGCACCTGTCAAGGAACCTCAAGTTCCTCGACTTTCCATCAAGTTCACTCAGTGCAGCCAGTAGGCTATAGTGTCCATTTTACGTGATTTTATTTTTGGAGGTTTGCTGATGATCTGGAAGAACCTTTGTGTTAATTCGGAGAATAATCAATCAGTAAGAGCTCTTTTGTCTCTCTCTCTCTCTCTCTCTCTCTCTCTCTCTCTCTCTCTCTCTCTCGCTCTCTCGCTCACACACTCACTCTCTCTCTCTCCCCTTTATGTGATGTGGGACTCCCCCCTCCTACTCTTGTCTGCTAGTCAAAAGCGCGATCCACGGTGCGAAAGCCTCCTTTTCTCCGTTTTCCTTCAGGATGGCATTCTTCAAATATCTCCGCTCTGTTAAGAATGAGCTGATCCTCTTCTCAGCCCCGTTTCTTTTTCTTCCACTGCCTTTAGTGGTCGGGACATCGGTATGTAACTAACTCATTTAAATGTAACTTTACCAAATTATCAAAAGTGGATAAACGCGACAAGTCCTGGTGATTTTGGCGTGAAATAATGAGTGTTGGATACCATTTGGCAAAACACCGGCTACTCCACTCCGAGTTCTTTAATTTAGTTTAATTAGGGAGACATTTCACTTTGCGCGCGCGCAGTTTTAACACGCTGAACTAAATTCATCCGCAAACTTCAGTGCGCCAGAGACAATGCCTTGCCTTCAAATGCCGTTTAAATGAATGAATCTGATTTGCACTGGTTCTCTCTCTTTTGCACCTGTTGATGCACTTGCGAGCAAATTGCATAAGAACTGTCCGGTGTTGCGTGATGCTGGAGCGCTCTGAAGTCTTGTTATTTTAACTCCTTGTTGTTAACCATGAAGGGTCGATGTCCAGCGTGGGAACACAGCAGTGGTGTATAAAGTACCCAAAAGCCATACTTGAGTAAAAGTAAAGATACCTTACTGGAAAACTACTCCAGTAAAAGTGAAAAGTCACCTATTAGAATACTACTTGAGTAAAAGTCTTAAAGTATCTGATATTTATTGTACTTAAGTATCAAAAGTAATTTTCTGATATTAAATGTACTTAAGTATTGAAAGTAAAAGTACAAGTAAATGCTGTTAATAAAAAAGCAAAGGGTCAGAATTTTGAGAATTATGAAGTTTATTCTTTTAAGTGCTGTGGCACCATGACGACCAAGGACAAGGAGCTGTGTTGGAAATAATTGGGTTGGCTGTGACCCATCCAGGAGCAACAATGTTCAACATAATATATTGTACATAAGTATACTTTTGCATCTACTATGAACTTATCATAATTCTCCGAAAAGCAATATGACACTATGAAGGAGCTGTAACAGTGCGTTTATAAGTATGCTCATTCCGACTAAAGGATGTAGAGGGCAAATGCATAATATTGCGTTCAGCAAAAAATATCCACTTGATGCATCAGGTCAGAGTGTTGAGAAAGGACACCTGCCTTGTAAACTCCTATGGGCCTGATTTGAACACAATAGGCAAAGGTTTGTCTCAAGCTGAATCTGCAATTGGGCGACTGCTACCATCATAACTCCATCTGATCATCCACTAAATGACTCAAATATCAAAACATGATCAATACTAAAGCAGCACCGAAAGTAACAACCCAGTCATTACTGGAAACTGAAAAATGTCCTGTTCATCTTCAAAAGAAGTTGGTTTTCAAAATTGCGAGAATTCAGTCTCGCTCTTCTTGGGCTGAAGACTAGTCCTGCGATGCTAAACAGCCTTTCACAGGCCGCTGAGGCAGGTAGAGGTGTGTTCAGCTTCACACACAGCTTGCGCACAGCTGGGAAGGATTTCCCTAATGCTAACCTTAATGCTAACCCTAATGCTAACACTAATGCTGCGCTCTCGCGGCTCCTGTCAATCCTATGGTCTATCCTGCGGGAGTAGCAGGTGCTTCCATTTCGTGCAGGGCCGAGATCCTTGTGGAGATTCTTGTGGCACTGGCACCTCTGTGGCACTCTGTGGCACTCCGCGGCACTCTGTGGCACTCAGCGGCACTCTGTGGCACTCCGCGGCACTCTCTGTGGCACTCAGCGGCACTCTGTGGCACTCCGCGGCACTCTCTGTGGCACTTCAGCGGCAAGCGTCAGCTGTGGCAGGCGAGCGGTACTAGTTCAGCACCCGTCAAGAAGCTGCGGAGCTGAGGGGGCGGAGCCACATTTCCTGAGACATTTCCTGAGAACACACATTGTTGTTACAACAGGTCAGATTCCGTAAATCAGTTTTATGATTTTAGTTGAGTCACCGGAGCCACCCGTTCTCTGTATGCACCCTAGAGTAATTACGTTGTACTTTTTTGTTTCTCATTCATTTTATTCAAGTATGATTTTGCTGGTTTTGCAACAAAAGGGAACATAATACACTCTTTCCAAATTATTACTTTTACAGTCATTTACAACAATCGGCTAAAATAATGAAAATAAATCATCCGTTTTATTATCATTTAAAAGTATATATATAAAAAATAAAAAATTAAAATTAAAACCCATAAAATGTCCAATCCAAAAATATATGTCTGAAAATATCTTCACTCTTCCTCTGCTTATATGTATATGTATGTCAGTAAGTGCCACAAGCTGCCAGAGGGTGCCTCAGGGTGCCAGAGGGTGTGCCAGAGAGTGCCGCAAGGTGCCAGAGAGTGCCAGAGAGTGTGCTCTGGCACACTCTCTGGAACCCTGCCAGAGGGTGTGCCAGAGGATGTGTCATTATTTATTAATAAATAATGACAATTGAAAAATAAAGAGATGTTTGGTTCATTCTTTTCAAACACTAAGCCTAATTTACCTACTTCACTGATTTAATTGTCACACTTAAATCCTGAATTGACTGGTGAAACAGAAGAAGTTAAAAGGCCAAGATGAGAAGATATAATGTTGGTCAAATACTGTGGTCCAAATAAATTACTTCAGTTTTATTGCCATTGAGATATAGAAAGTTTGACTCTAGAATATTCAAAAAATTCCTAATCCCTCTGTTGCTGGCGGCACCCTCTGGCACTCTCTGGCACCCTGCGGCACTCTCTGGTACTCTCTGGCACCCTGTGGCACCTTGCGGCACTCTCTGGCACCCTGTGGCACTCTCTGGCACTCTCTGACATTTTATGGGTTTTAATTTTAATTTTTTATATATATACTTTTAAATGATAATAAAACGGATGATTTATTTTCATTATTTTAGCCGATTGTTGTAAATGACTGTAAAAGTAATAATTTGGAAAGAGTGTATTATGTTCCCTTTTGTTGCAAAACCAGCAAAATCATACTTAAATAAAATGAATGAGAAACAAAAAAGTACAACGTAATTACTCTAGGGTGCATACAGAGAACGGGTGGCTCCGGTGACTCAACTAAAATCATAAAACTGATTTACGGAATCTGACCTGTTGTAACAACAATGTGTGTTCTCAGGAAATGTCTCAGGAAATGTGGCTCCGCCCCCTCAGCTCCGCAGCTTCTTGACGGGTGCTGAACTAGTACCGCTCGCCTGCCACAGCTGACGCTTGCCGCTGAAGTGCCACAGAGAGTGCCGCGGAGTGCCACAGAGTGCCGCTGAGTGC